AAAAAAAAAAAAAAAAAAAAAAAAAAAAAATTCTAAGTAGAGTTTCTTTGATAACAATATAGAATTTGAACAATTGTTTTAAAGTCATGTCTCTGAGTCTAACAGACTTGCAGGTTATAAAAGTGATCAAATAAATGTCCCATACAGCTTAGATGGAAATCACCCCAACATCACTTATGTAGGATTATTTAGAGGATGAGATGTCTACTAAAGATTTTCTGCAAGTGACTGTCTTTTCAGAAAGCAAACAATCATCTTCAAAGCAAATAACATTCCTCAACTCTATAATCTGACTTCTAACTCCATAATTCCGGCACCGTGAATGAGACCTCCATGTCACTGAATCCAGGATACCATAGAACCAAGCCAGAAAGCTACATGGTCAGGGGCAATACTTAAAATCACACCAAGAACTGGCTCAGCAGGAACCACACTGATACCACTGCTGAACAAAGAAACCAAAATAATTTCCTCAACTATTTCAACTAATTATTTCAACTAATAATTTTTTCAACTATTAATGATGGGCACATAAATTCAATACAGGAAATAATGTCATAGGCCTTATCAAAGGCTTAGAAAAACATTTAGAAAAATGTTCATTGTTACTAAATCAATTACACTATATCATTTGAAGTACAGAAGTTGATCCAGCTGGTGTTCTGGAACACTTAATGAACTAAGGACACCCTCTACCAAAATTGGCACCGTGTCATGTGGAGGTAAGCCTCACATGAATCTCATAGTTTATATGCAAAATGCAGAAAAATCCCTAAGTGTGTATTTCCCCATAACCTATAATTCGAAAAATTTTACTGAATATATTCCTTGAAGGTTTTTTCAGAAAATTTGTTATCTTCCTAATTCAAAAATAACTTTAGCAGTCTGTTTCCAAATAACTCGGAAGTTTGCCAAAGGCATAGTACTATGCAGCTGCCAATGTTCCTATAATTTCAGACTCTTCTGCATTTCAATGGTTTAAATTATATTCTTAGAAAGATGTGGAAGAAGGTATCACTTGAATACAAAATTCAGACATTATGTTGTACATTCAGGATCCCTATGTCCTTTTTCTGATTCTCAAAAGGAAAAGACTGTTTAACTGTCATGAGCATGTCTCCCATCCATCCACTTGATACCCGGTATTGTCACATAAAGAACCCTGTATCTTATGTAAGACAGTACTGAGAGAAATAATATCTGTGGAGGAACTCAAATCAGCCCTCAATGGCCCTGAAACCATCAGTTTTGGGATTGGCTCACACACACGGGCAAAATAATCAACCCTCTTATATAAATTCATGTATTTTAATTTTAATCATTATATTATAAAATATTCTAAGTAATAATAATTTTTTCAACTATTAATGATGGGTACATAAATTCAATACAGGAAATAATGTCATAGGCCGCATCAAAAGACTTAGAAAAACAATTAGAAAAATATTCTAAAATTTAATTATTAATTTTTCTTACTCTAAAACGTCGCACAATATGAACGTCAGTTTGAAGCTATTTGTCAGAATTCTCTGTAATATAAATTTTAAATTGGCCTAATAGTATAAATAACAAATGGGATTATTTTAACATCTTAATAATGATACCACCCTTCTTTTAAGATCTGTTATAATATGGCATGATTACGTCTTATAAAGAAAAGCCTCAATGACTCTGAAAGCAAGTTATGATTAAATGGTTTTAGCTTGTTCTCCTTGAAAAGCCTCCAAAGTATATATGTTTCCAATAACTACTGTGTAATAACTGGTATCATAGCTTTAACAAGCATTTACCTTGCAGCATTTACTACTAGTCAACTTTTATAACAACACTATGTTCGTCATTTTGAGAAAAGTAAAATACGCTCTTTTCACAGATTTTAACAGCACCGATGTGTAGGCGAATTTCCTGTCAAAGTTAGGAGAACCTCCAATGAACAACTGAATTTAACCATGCCTTCATTTTCATGCTTTATGAGTACATTATTGATTCAGTCATGTAGTTGAATCGATACCTTGTGAATCTTACTGCAATATCTTACACCCAGTTTTCCCTCATGTTTGCTAAAGCAGTAGTTCACAAATGTGGTCCCTGGACCAGTAACATTAGAATCATCTGAGAACTTGTAAAAAATGAAAATTATCAGGTTCCACTCCAGAACCGAATCAGAAACTCTAGGGAGGAACCGAGAAACATGGGTTTCAACACACCATGCAGGTGGTTATGATGCAGACTAAAGTTTGAGAACCTCTGTCTAAAGCAAAAAGATGTTCTCTTGATATAAAGAAAGGTTTGCCAGCATTGGGATAGCTCAAAAAACTAAAAGCAGAACTACCATTAGACCCAGCAATCCCACTACTGCTTTGGGTAACTACCCAAAGCAATACCACTTTTGGTATTTATCCAAAGGGAAAGAAATCGTTACATCAAAAAGACAACTTCACTCTTTTTTTATTATTATTATTATACCTTAAGTTCTAGGGTGCATGTGCACAACGTGCAGGTTCGTTATATAGGTATACATGTGCCATGGTGGTTTGCTGCACCCATCAACCTGTCATCTACATTAGGTATTTCTCCTAATGCTATCCCTCCCCGAGCCCCCACCCTCTGACAGGTCCTGGCATGTGAAGTTCCCCGCCTTGTGTCCACGTGTTCTCATTGTTCAACTCCCACCTGTGAGTGAAAACATGCGACACCTGCACTCTTATGTTTATTGCAGCATTATTCACAGTAGCAAAGTCGTGCAATCAACCTAAGCATTCATCAATGGTTGACTGGATAAAGAAAATGTGGTACATATACACCATGGAATACTAGGCAGCTATAAAAGAGAATGAAATTACATCCTTTACAGCAACATGGATGGAGCTGGGGGCCATTATCCTACGTGAAATAACTCAGAAACAGAAAGTCAAATACAGCATGTTCTCATTTAGAAGTGAGAGCTAAACAATGAGTTCACATGGACATAAAGATGGAAATAATAGACACTAGGGACTCTAAAAGTGGGGAGGGGGATAGGGGACTGAAGGTTGAAAAATTACCTATTGGGTACAATGTTCACTATTTGATTACATAATATATCCATGTAACAAACGTGCACATGTACCCCTTGAATCTAAACAAAATAAAGTTTAAAAAAGAGAAGTTTTGAATCACTTATGGTGGAGCAGTAGCTTCTGCAGGGACCTTTCTCTCCAAGCCTAAAATGCCATTATACTTTATAAAAATACAGATGTTCTTTACAGAAGGTACCAAATTATAAAAATTTCATCTAGTAAGGGTTTTAGACTAAGGCATATTCTCAATACATGTTAAAACATGGATATGCATCCAACTGAATGTTTGAGTTGTAAGGAAAAAAATGTGACTAATTAAAATAGCATGATATTACAAAAATAAAAACAATGTCTTATCTATCATAATTTCAACAGATTTTTCCCAAAATTAAAATCAAAGAAAATAGGGCTGATTTAACCACTGTCTTTTGTATTTTCTAGGTCCAGAACTTGTGCCATCTATAGAATTAGAGCCATGCCTAGGTAATGTATGAATGAACTATATAGTTAATACATATTCCTACACAATGGCCTTCAAAGGCAAGCTGGTGAGGTTATCCCAAAGAACAGATGGAACAGAGCTGGTGTATTTTGCTAATAACCTCCATGATATAGTCTGTGTTATCAGAAAGGCAAAAGAGAAAACCCTAAAAATAGAGAGAATGAATTTTATCATAAAGATATATTTCTCAATCCCCACATGCATACATGGTATAATAGATATCAAGAGTAAAGCTTTGGGCAAAACAATGTTTTCTCCCCTTTTCCACCAGAAAAAAAAAGGGGGGGGGAATCAAGCTTATAGTATAATTTTGATTAAGTAATTATTGTGTAATTTTTTTCTTAATTTCATTTTAAAACCATACATTTCCTATTTATTATTAGTAAAGCTCACATTGGGGGTGTAAAGTGACCAAAGTTGTGTTATTCCCACCTTATAGCAGATTTTCCACTGGAATGTAAATCTTTCAAGAATATTTTCAATTTACGGAAAGAGAATACTTTTATAGAGTAACACGAAACTTGCATGAATAACTCATATTTCTCAGATGTCACTGTCATTCTGAAAAAAAGCACTTTATATTCTTTTGAAAAATACTTAGAGACAATGATAGACTTACATTTGTCAAGTGCTAAGTTACATTAAAAGGGAGATTATATGTTGAAAAAATAAACTTCATCATAAAAGTTAATAAAATAATTTGGCTAAAATAAATAACAAAGCACTTATAATAAATTTATCAGTAAAACAGCTAGTTAAACCCATTAAATCAATTTCACAAAACTGTTCTAATTTAAATGTATGTACATCAGGGAAAATCTGAATGGAATACCTGAGACTGTGCATTAATATTGGCTCCTTCCTTAACAAGAACTTTGACAACTTCTGCTTGTCCAGCCAAAGATGCAATGTGAAGAGCGGTATTTCCCTTCTGTTTTGGAGAAACAAAATAGAAAATGTTCAAGGTTTCTGAATTTTGCAGAAATCAAAATGTGCAGGCATTTTCAACTTCGCTAATCACTTTAACCGATTAAAATCTGTTATTTTATCAAGATAGTAGGCCACTTACGAAGAGATTATTTTTTACCATCAAAAAAAAAAACTTTTTGGCCACCTCATATAGTGTCTTCCTTTTCTATTTTCACAATATTGGTTAGTGTTAACACAGAATGACTGTTTTCAATGAATCAAAAATTTGCAGGAGGTGTGTGTGTATGTGTCAGTGTCTCATGAGACTCATGCAATTTAATCAACAACTAAAGAATCAAAAATTTGCAGGGGGTGTGTGTGTATGTGTCAGTATCTCATGAGATTCATGCAATTTAATCAACAACTAAAGAATCCTACTGCAAAGAAATATTAACTAAAAAGAAAGTTTACTGAAACATTGAGTTTCTTTCACCTTGCAAAGAAACCTAGGAATTTTTAGTGGTGGAGAAACGGACAGCTTATAGTTGTGTTTGCAGCTACTACGGCACTTGGGAATATGTTGGGAATAAGAAAAATAAATTTTACATAAATCATAACAGTACCAATGATTTTCTACCATTTGCTACATCGAAATTTACCAGCCACAACACCAACACCAATGAAAAATAATTTAAACTTTTTGTGAAAATAAAGGCCAAGAGATTAAAAATACCTGTGATGTGATTAAAATAAATAACAAAAAGAAAAAAAAAAAAAAGAAACCAGTATATTCCAGGCCATAAAGTTTGGATTCTAGTTCTCTTTCTGTCTCCAGCTCACTGTGGGAGCATTAGGCACTCACTTAATATTTGGGGGCCTCAGTTTTTTTCTGTTTAAAAACATGAGATTCTTTTCTGGGAAATTCTACAATTCTAATCTATGATTAAAAGTAAGCCTAATTTTTAAAATATCAATAGAGTTTAGAAGAAAGGAAAAACAAAAATAGTAATAAACACTTAAGCAAGCAAAAATAATTGGCTTAATGAATACACTATATTAACGTGGGCAACTACACACCATGTCATACCAGTCAGAATGGCTATTACTAAAAAGACAAAAAATAATAGATGTTGGTGGGGTTGTACAGTGGCAGCCTCAAAATCCCAGGCTCACATGAGTGGTCCTCACGCTACAGCCTCCAGTGTAGCTGGGATTACAGATGTGAGCCAGTGAACTGGGCTTCAAATAGATATCCTTTAAATATTTGTTTAAAATGTATTTGATGTGCCAGAGAGAAATGTTAATAAAAATGTTTACTCTCTCTTTATGTTCAAAGTAAGAAATGTATTGCATATAGTGAATTCACATGTTTACTTCTGTGGAATTGCCAAAAATTGTTAGTTTGTTTTTGTTTTTTAATTTCTGCTAGAATTGCCGTTTACTATACTACAAGCAGAACCAATGCACATTTTGGCAATTATGCATGAGGCATTGGAATTCCAGGTTAACTGGCCGTATTTCTAATTTATTCTTGTACTTTTTTTTTTGCTTGATTACTCCAGATAAGACTGGTGTCCCATCTAGAGACCAGAGTGTCTGACTTCTCTCTCTGCATCTTCCACAGCCATATTATCACACTCAAGGCTTGGTCAACAGGCTTGGCTCTGATTAGCACTGTATTTTTCCAAATAAAATTTTACCTTCAAGAGACAAAGATTGTTGCCATTGACGATAGTTTTTTAAATGTATGTTGTTTATGAAATGAATCATCGACAAGTTCAAATATTTTTTAGCAAAAGCAGCATCAAGGAACAGTTTCTGGTTTACCAAGCATTCCGTGCATTTCTTTAAAAATGAGTCCAATTTCCTTACCAAACACATTATGATGATAAAATCTAATATTACCCTGATAATTCAATCCATGACCCAAAATCTCTTTTCTTATTAGAGTATAAAGGATTCTGCATAGTCTCGTACCAAACTGAATGTATACATTTAAAATTACTTGTTCAATTTCCATAGAGAAATTTCCCACATCAGTTTACTTTTAAAAAATGAATTAACCATAGGAAAACAGGTGCTACTGTCTACAAAGGATTATGTGAATCTCGTCCTCTTTGTACATCAAAGGGGGAAAGATAAAATTTTAGAAACCAGGTTTACAGATTTTTCAGACTCATGTCCCATAAGTCTTTAAATGAAACAATTCACTCTGCAGAGTTTAATGGAGAGGGTTTTAATTTTAATTCTGCAGGTTAAGAATCTTGGTATTCTAGCCAACCTCTGAAATGTACAAGAGGGAAAAGAAGCTTTAAGTGGGTGAGGTGTGGTGGTTCACGCCTATAATCCCAGCACTTTAGGAGGCTGAGGCAGGAGGATCGCTAGAGCCCAGGAAGGCAACATAGCAAGACCTCACCTATACTAAAAAAATTTTTTTTAATTAACTGGGCATGGTGGTGCACGCCTGTAGTCTCAGCTACTCAGGCAGCTGAGGTGGGAGGGTAACTTGAGCCCAGGAGGTGGAGGTTGCAGTGAACCGTGATTGTACCACTGCACTACTGCCTGGGCAACAGAAAGAGACCTTGTCTAAAAAAATACATGAAAATGAAAAGCTTTAAATAATTCTCACTTTTCTAAGGAAAAAAATATTCTACCAGCATGAATATTACCTTAGTGGCAGAATCCACAGAGGATCCTCTTCCCAGCAGCTCCTGCACCAGCCCCACGTGGCCTTCCTTGGCAGCCAGATGGAGAGCGTTGAGTCCATTCTGAGAGAAGAAACAAACAAGGTTTTAAGAAGTGAAGTAATGAGGCAAACAGTGTCCTGCCAAGCATATAACCCAGAGAACAGATCACTTCTGTTGACTGTAGACTCTGATCACTTCTTTTTTTTTTTTCCTTTTTGCATTAGAATCTTGAATCTATTAATTTAGGAGAGACTAATTTCAGTGTTTTTGATTCAGAGAGGCAATAAGGTAAGTATTCATTAGAAACATGGATTTTGGCAACTACATTTCAACAAATTTTTTTTTAACTAAGAAATCTCTAAATATTTTAAATGATTTAAAGGAACAATTTTATATCATTTATTGTATTGGTGCAAAATTAAATTCTGCCCACTTTCTGGAACATGTACAGCTTTAGATTTTTTCAGTCCTTTTGTATCTCAAAGCAGCACTCTGCTAAGTGCTATTCACACTTACGAAGATGTACTCCACACCTCCTAGGATTTATAGACAACAGTTATACCTTGATTAATATTATAACTAACTCACTCTAACTAGCTACTCAGTGACTCAAAATACTGACCAACAATTTGGAAGAAACTTAGAAGAAAATTAATATGATTTTAAAAATCAAGAACAAATTTTTAAGAGGAAAGTATTAAGTTAATTCAACCTGGAAAACAGAATAAATATTAGTTTCTTCATCTTCAAAACAAGGATTAAAGTCTTCAACTGACACAGTAGTAAAGCTTAAACAGAGCAATAGAAATAAAGTGACAATTTAGCAGCTGGTTCATGGTGCCAGTTATTAGCTTCCATAGCCCACTTGTCTTATACAGATGGTATTCTAATATTGATACTGAATAAATTAACATTTTTCCCATGCAAATTGAAATACACTGTTTTACACATATCATATAGACTCAAGTAATACTACAAAATGTTATTTCATAATAATCTCAGAAGCTAATCATAAATGTTTTTGGATGTTGAAATGGAATATAGAAATTATTTACATTATGTAAATTGTTATAGAAGAGTACTTATCTAAGAATGACCATGAGTCATACTTGTAATGTAAAAAAGAAAAAGTTGTACTAAATATGAAGGTTATAGAAACTGTCCTTCTTCTTATATTGTAACATTTAATAGTAATAATAATAATATTTCATTTTTAGTTCCTGACTACTGAGTTGAAGTCAGTCAATAAAATGATCTTATTATGATGCTACAGTCAGAGAACCAAGACAGTCTTGATATTCTTGATAGGGCCTCCAAATTTAGAGACAAAAGGCATGATAATGATATGTAATATGATCAGATTTATAGTTCAGAGATGTGCTATCTAACAGTCTTCTATTGAAATGTAAATTTATGAGAGAATAATTTTAACATTGTAATTTGGGGAAGCTGCATCACGGTGTAGATTCACTTCCAGTGATGTTCTATATATCTATCAGTTTCACTATGTCAGACTCATTTCTAGCAATGGTTTAAGTATCTCTCAATTTTATATATACTGCATACCAAATGGGAAACAACAAAGCAGGCTACTGTTGATAGGTCATTGATATTGACTTTATGTAAGTCAATGTTGATAAAATAATACGAACTTAGTCTTTTGACACAATCAGCAAATATTTATTGAGTTCTTATTGTGAGCTTGATATTGGGCTTTGCAGATCTGTGAGTTCCAGGAGTGATATCATCTTTGATACCACAACTTCAGAATAATGCTATTTCCATATAATACCATTAAAATGGCTAAAAATATCAGGCAGATTTTTTAAAAAGATGATAATGCTACATTGAAACAACCATGCGCACATTAATCCAAAAGAACAAAGTTATCTTTTTTGTTTAGCACTTCTATCAAATTTTATAAAGAGTATTTTAACATTTTGTTCATAATCAGATTTATAATAAGCTCTATTCACTATTTCTCTTGCTGATTTTATGAAATATTTTCTCCATTGACTGCCTTTGTATGATCATATAAAGCTAGTGGATGACCCCAGGTAGAACAGATAGCCAATAAAAATTTTCATGGAACCATTTGAGTATTTCTGATATATACAGAAAAACCGCAGAGGAGTCCATTTGGAGAAGTTAAGGAACAGATTCAAGAAGATACAGCTAAACTTACATGAAGGTTAAATGTTTGCATCATCATCCATCAAACTGTTTTTTACCTTATTATAAATTCAAAATTAATACAAACTTATTTGTTAATCCATAAGCATTTGCTAGGTGCCCACTAAGTGCTCAGCTCTCAGTGCTGGGTTCCAAGGGAGAAGTAAAGACACATTATGTAATGTTTGTCCCCATAAATATTTGGCCCCCAAATACTTATTATTAAACAACTGAAAATCAACTACACAGTAGCATATATTGTCAATGATTTAATTTTCAGATCTCTGGCTGCCCTGCTTTGCATATGTTACATGTTGAATTAAGAGTTTCACAGTCTAAGTCTTTTGCATATCAGAAAAGTACAACTAACTTATATAACATTTTAAATTCTATGAAAATGTAAATATTTGGGAGAAGCCAATTAAAATATATGAGCTCTTGAAAGTTTTTGAAAGAGGTTAGAAGAAAGAGATAGAGAGAAAATGGGCACATCCAAAGGCAGTAATTGCGAAGGAAAGTGAAACTTGGCCTCTCAGTCCTCACCACCACTCTGAACGGACTTCACTGTCAAGATTCCCCTAAGTCAAGAACTCTTCTCAAGATGAAATACGTGCCATAAATGTAGATACAAATAGTTGTGAAATATTACTACAATTTCACTGTGCCATTAGTATAAATGACAATGGCAAAAAAATAATTTAAAAAAATGACAATGGCAAAAGAAATAATCTATACAATGAAGAAAAAATCAAATTAAAAATGAAAATGACACATTTACATGTTCTCTATCCATTCTCACTCGTTACGCCCATATATCTTTTATCTGCACTTTTCCCATCTTTTCCACAGCAGCTTCTCTAAACCAAAGGTACTTATTCACTGTGGTGGGGTTAAGGATGTATTTAGTTTTTTATGAAGATCAGGAAAAGCAAAGTACATGATGCACCAACTTTGTCAGACACAGTTTAACTGAACTGACTGTGTCCTTGGCTGGTCTCCACAGGTTCCTGATTTAACAAAGTAAATCAAACTATAGGTGATACAAGAAGATATTTGTTTTATTAGTTACTCTCAGGTCTTCAAGGGTTTCTTTTAAATTCCCAAATGATAATTTAATGTGGTATTTACTAAGCCTTCATTAATTTAAAAATATTTACAATGAGATTTGGAATTTGGCTGTTCAGGTTATTGGTTATTTCACAGTGAAAGAATAAGAACGCTTTGAAGATGCCACTCTATATAGTCCATTTCGTGATCTCCACTTCATCCATAGTGGGGTCCCGTCTAGCGCCTCTGGATGGTAGCTCCCTTTTTGGCCACTGATCTTTTCTCTCTGTCTAGCCCTATCAAGGGCTTTTTTTTTTTTTTTTTAAATAATACAATCCCTAAAATATAGGGAATGACACTGAATATGGTAGTGAATTAGCCTGAGAGAAGAAAAAACTGTAAAAATTAGTCTTCGGAATCTTACTAAAATCATGAAAAATGAAGAGGTTATGAGTGCTGAGAAATATTTGATGAATGAAAGAATAAGAAATGTTAATGATGTAAGAATCACTATTACATTTTACATTTTACATATATTATATTACAGCATATTTTATTATATTTTACAGATGATGACACTAAAATTCTCAGAAGTCAAGTGATTTGCCTCAAAGATCATTATAACTTATAAGAGGAAGAGCAAAAAATTCAAACTCAGATCTATCTGATTTCCAAACCCATGCTTTTTTATTTAAAATAATTAAATGCTAAACCAGTATTTCAGACTGTAGGTCATGATGCATAAACTGGTCATAAATTCAATCTAATGGACTGCTAATCAGCATGGTTCAAATCATGAAGTAGCATAAAGAAAAACAGAGTGCACTGTGGGTGGCAAGTATTGATTTTGAGGGGTTTTTGGTGAAACTTTTTATACACACACATCTATGTGTGTGTGCACATGCAGGCATGCTCTGGGTTACAAAAAAGCTAAAGAAGTTTAGTCAAGACCTGAGACAGGAGGTCATCTTGGGGAAACTAGATAACCTTTTAGATCAAATAAATGAAACATTGGCACTCACAAAGATCACTTAAGGGAGGATAATGGACATTTAGAAATGGTTTTGTTGGACCTAGATGACAGGTTGATAGGTGCAGCAAACCACCATAGCACATGTATACCTATGTAACAAACCTGCACGTTCAGCACATGTATCCCAGAACTTAAAGTAAAATTTTTTAAAAAAGAAAAGAAATGGTTTTGTTGGTACGCTTATTTGAGTTTTCTGAACTTAATTTTCATTTTAGATGGGTGTTGTGATGCAAATAAGAGGATTGACAATGGGATGAAGCAGAATTCTTCATTTTGAGAATATTGGCTAAATCATGTCCACATTTGGGGTTCTGAGAGGGACAGTGGCAGAGTGGAGAACACAGGCATTGGGCAACAGGAAATCTGAGCTCCTATGCTGGCTCTCCAGTCCTAACAATAGGATTTAAGGTTTCTTCAATAGTAAAAAGGGAAAATGTCCTACTCTGCCTACCTCAGATAGTTATTTAAGAGTATAAAATAGTGTAGGTTAATTCTGTTTGTAATGTATGAAGTAATAAACAAATGTAAGGTATTATTATTTCCTAGTTAGATGCAAACAGTAATACATGTATATATTCCTGCTCTCCCCATCCACAGCCCTGCCAATGTTCCATCACTAAGATTTGGCTAAATGTGATGAGATGAAATGAGCATTTTTAAGTTCAACATACGTTTACCTAGGCTAGCAAAAGTATTAATGTATGCAAAAGTGATTTATCTTTTAAAAGTATTTTGAATTACAATAAAACCTAGGAAGTAGATGGGTAAAAGGAACTTGGTTTATTAGTAGTCACCCTTGTCAATAATTCAGACAGTTGCAATTTTACTA